GGGGTGGGTGGGTGGGTTGTGGTATGGGGGGTAAGGTATTTCTTGTTTGGTGTTCGATATTCGTTTTGATCGGTCCAAAAAGAAACTTACAAGTTACAGAAATCTAATTAGTTTAGGAGCTAGTTATAATTAGATATACTCTAATTTGCAGTATTACAAATTTTATAAGATTTTGGTGTGTTCAGATATGTCTATATACGTCAAGATACATGTATATCGGAATACATGAGTCAAAATTAAATGTAATTTCTTTTAGATACATTGTATCCAAACGGTTTCGTATGTATTTAGGATTCATAGACAAATCTCGTTCGTCTCTGTCCTATCTCTCTCGCCACTCTCATATGTATTCGGTATCCCATATACATACACATACATGTATTTAGTGTGATTCGTATGTATCTGGGATACATGAATATCTCACTCACCTCTCTCCCTATTTAGGTATATCTGATATCAAAAATATTGTGTCTAAGAGTGTAGAAAACTCTAAATTAATGATAAGATACGTAATTATTTAAAAATATAGATAGAATTAAGATAGTTTTCCTAATTGATCAAATTTAAAAAACACTCCCAACGCAAAATTAAAATTTCTGATTAAAAAAAGAAACAAACTCATCGTAAAATAAACTAGTTGAAAAATGCACAAATTAAACGCCTTAAATAAGCAGAAGGAAGCACTTCAATCTAGCAAGAAATGCATTATCAAAAAAGTAAAGCAAGAGACAATTGATTTATTTTAGTGTTTTAAGCAAGGAATTTATCAATTTATAAAATAAAATAAAGAAAAATTTCACACAATTTATATCAATTACATGAGATACAAAGTAAAACATTTCGATAAAATAAGGAAAAAGGATGAAAAAAAATGTAACGCCATCAAGGATATAATGAAATCGTTAAAATTCTCTTATTTTTTATTTGTTTGTCGGGTTTTAATTAGAATTAATATGAGATTTAATAAGTAAAAATACTTTTGAATCTTATAATCTTAAATTAGAGATACGTTAAATATATCAAAATATTATCTAATCTTATAATTTAAACATATCATGTGAAAAGTTTGAATAAAAGAAAAACCATTAAAAACAGTTTTTTTCTTAGACTCAATAAAAAATAAAGATAAACAAATAAAAATAAAGGGAGTATGAGATATTGAATTTGCGTTTTTAAGAATATAAAAGATCTTTCAATATAAAGTATTTGATAATTCTAGTCTTCTTATTGTCCACAAATATCAAATACAGTAATTTTGAATACTAGATAAAAGAAACTAATATAAATTATGATGGAATAATTAAAATTCTTTAATTATTAATTAGAGATTTCAGATTTAAATCCCTTGAATTAAAAAAGAAAATTTGTTGAAAGGGTTACTCCTAAAAATTAACTTTATAATATGTGAATTAAATTTAATCAAACTTCAATATAATTATCCGCTATCACTTCTAAAAATTAACCTTATAATGTGTAAATTAAATTTGATCGAACTTTAATATAATTATTTGTTATTGAATAAAAAAAAATAAAAATAATGAGCACAAAAAAGGGAAGAAGAAGCCTACCATGTGAAATAAAAAGGAGGGTCCATATGAGTGTAGGTTATGTATGGGCAAAGCATGATATAGCTTTTAGGGGAACTCAGATTTTTGGCAGACTTCTAATTTTTGGTTAAGTTCATTGTCTCATGTCTCCATTATTATATTTTATATTTATTAATTGAATGTAACCTACAATTATTTTAAAATATTTTTCATTATATAGGGGATAAGGAAAGAAAAATGCATTATGTGAATTGGTTTTTTTTTCCCTGATGTCCACATTGAAGTTCGACTAAACTTAGATTCACGTTGAAAAGTCATACATTAGGGTAAAGCATCACTAACAAAGGTGACTCATCCGAGACCTCTGATTAAGAATGAAGGAATATTTATCACTCTATTACTAATACTACTAGCTAGACTAATAAACTTTGGTTTATATGTTGTATATGATGAGTATGAAAGTCATCCGATATTTGTATTAGAGCTGGTTGGAAGTCCCACATAGGGGTAAAACACTCTCTAACAAAGGCGAGTTCGTATTTAGGGGAACTTGAACTCGAGTCATCTTATTAAGGATGAATACTTACCACTTCACGATAACCCTTATTGGTAAAGTCATCCTATATAAATATTCATATATAATATGTTTTGTTGTGTGTGTTGTAAGTATTTGATTTGACCCTCTCTTGAGGAATTTTATATTAATTTGTTTTCTTTGTTTGGCTTAATTTGGTTTAAACTTTACTAATTTGAAAACTCCAAATGAGATATTGTTGAAAATAATGAAATAAAAGACAAGACATGGAAATGTTAGCTAAAGTGCTACACCTTTTTCAATTTGTGTTACCTTAATTTGTTATTTTTCTACTTAAAGGTCAATTTAAGTTGCCAAATAAGCATAATTTTCATTTAAGAATAAATGTCAGTACAACATTTTCAAACCATTATTTACTCTATTAAGAGACGCGATATATGAATGAGATCTTTTTATTCTTAATTAGTAATCTCAAATTAGAATCATAAGATTACTTCAAAAATATGAATTAACTATAAAATTCATCTTTAGTCTGTCATTAAATAACATATTGCTAACATAACTCTTTAATAATACATCACTAATTCATTATAAAATAAAATTAGCGATGAATTTTTATTTTTTAAACGAAAGTCGTTATCTGTTGTTGTTTGCAATTCATGCTTCTTTTGTAATAGTGGAGAAATTCAATTACAAAATGCTTCTCTCTATGTACAATGAAAACCTGAATTAATCGAGTCAGTATACTTGAGAATATTTAATGGTTATTAAATAAGTACTACTTTTTTTCTTACTTAAACTAAAAGTCACCTGAAATAGTATAGTACTTTTAGTTTTCAAGAATTTTTATTTCTCTGAATAAATAATAGCTAAACCTTTTTTAATTGAAAAAAGAAAAAGGGGAAAAAATGCACCCTCCCACCAACATATTATCAACACAATCATCATTTACTTGTTGACACAGCCCAAAACAAAGAGTGAAATATACAAATTCATAATATGGTTATGTTTACTTTTTATATATTAAATTTTAAATATTCTTTATGATATTACTAGTTTCGCTTTTGCTCGTGTATAAGAGCAAAGAGAATTTCATCGAAATAATTACTTGAGAAAAAAATCCCCTCTTTTTAATCAAAATAAAGGATATATTATCTTAGTACTCCTAGCTATTACTTACAATATTCTAAGAAAAATAATCATAGTAATGGGCAACTTAAGAATATAAATGATTAAGTCCTACATTTGTTTAAAAAATAAAAACATTTGTTTATCTATTTTCAGTCAAATTAGGCCATGGGATTCTCCTATCTTTTTTACTATTTATATAAACATAATTAATATGGTCCGTTATATTGTGGACAAGGGGCGAAGCTAGAGCGTTGGTTCAGAGTTTAGTTAAATAAAATGATTTAATTTTAATTTTATATTTATCTTTATTTAAAACTCGATAACATGGAAATAAAATTATAATTTATAATACATAAATTTCAAATGCTGATTTTGCCTTGATATGCATGTGTACTTATGTACACTCAAGTTGCAATTTTTTGGGAAAAGTTAAGTGGCTAGATTTGTTATCTACCCACCCATTTTCTTTTCTTTC